CTCATTAAGCATCGTTTGGAGGTGATTGAATGCATATCTGGCCTTTACTATGACTCGCGGTGGCCTACTGATACATCTAGCCAGTGCTGCTATACTCCCAAACAGGTCTGGTACCAATTTACCGACCCCGGAAGTATGGGAGGCTTGGTGGACCATGTGCGCGGCGATCGATTCCACGTGTGTGTTGCAGAGCCGCTCCGACCATTGCGCCACGTGCGCCCTTGAAAGAGTACCTAAGAATTCCAAAATTCTTTTTGATACAAGTTGTATGATGCCCAACTACATGAGGATGTCGGCTCAAACAAAACCACAGATATGCTGTAGTCAAAGTTCAAACCACAGTTTAAGCCATCAAGGTATGCCCACACTAACATCCCCTTTAGTCTAACGTTTTCCCACTGTCGAGAAAAACGTTCAGTCGTGTCGAGGCGACCACCATCATTTTAAACAAGGTAATAAAGACCTGTCCTACATAAGCACAAATTGACCTCAACTGAAAACGAACATGGACGGAGGGGTTTAGAAGAACAGAGAAGTGGAGCAGAACAACACTCCGGCCATTTCTCTGACCGAGGAGACACAAAACGCATACATAGCGTCGCCTGCGTTGAGCGCTTTTAATCTCAGATAGACTCGAGTTCTTGGTTAGAACATCTAAGCTTCAAACGCCAATAAACAGAGTATTTATGTGAAACTTGTCTTGTGGACAGGAAAACATTTTGGCAAAGAATAATATATTCTTTAAAAACTATATATATATATATATATATACATTTACATATTTATGTACATATAGACTTTCGCCATGTGAGAACGGCTGGGTTCCCTGTATATTACCTTCTCAAAATGAGGCAAAAAAATAACCTATACCTCGCAGTTAAGCATTTCGAACATTTTAAGCTCTAATGCATCTTTAAATCTGCCGTTAGAGAAAAGAAAAGAACTTTGAGCTAATAAAGTAACCTGTGCGTCTTCAATGGCTTTATCCAGTTGTTTTTTAGTTTCATATAGTTCATGTCCTTGCCAAAAGCCGTCAACGGTCACGACAAGTTTTGGAGAAGTTTCCTTCAGAAGCGTGGTAAGTTCGGAAAGCTTAGCCGTTGCAGGATTCTAGAATTTGTGAAATAATCTATTGAGAGTGGAATCAAGTCGAATATTATTCGAATAACTCATCTACAACATAGACTGTATCACCTGTAGACCCGTGAATCGCCGGGTGACTCGAGCGAGCGCCAGTAAATCTTCCATTTTACCCTATCATGTGCAAGAGTAGCCCAGTGGATTCTGCTCGCTCTAGGGACTCGTCGAGCATCATATATTTCTTCTAGGCTCTTCGTGAAGAACTCTGACCATCGGGTCGGTGGTCTTCCTGCGCATGTTTAGCATTCCAAGGAATCCAGTAAACGGCTCTTGTCCATCGGTTGCCATTCATACGCATCACGTGTTCGGCCCACCTTATCTTCGACCGTTTGGTGTACATAACGGCATCTCTGATTCTTGATCGCTGACGCACGTCGGAGCTTAAGATCCCTTCACTTATTTGTGCGAAATGGAATACTCCTAGCATCGTCCTTTCGACTGCGCGTTCGCTAACGCTAAGTGATCCTTCATCCTGCTTACTCAGCGACCACATTTCTGACGCATGCGTTAGAGCAGAAAATACCGTTGAGTCGACAAGGTGGGCACGGAGTCGTGTGTTCTTTGTTTTCTTCACTACATCCTTGATGCTCTTGAAAGCCCCACAAGCCGCTCGTTTGCTTTTGCTCAGCTCTGGAGCTAAGCCACTCTTCATATTGATTGCTCGACCTGGATAGATATAACTGGAGCATTCGGAGATATTCGTTCCGTTGAGCGCGAATGGGGCATGCGAAACCAATCTATTCTTCATGGACATCGTTTTTGTGAGATTTAGTCGAAGACCAATCTTTCCACAGGCTTTATCAAAGTCGGCAAGCATACGTTCCGCTTGGCTAACGTTTGTTGCTATAAGGACGATGGCATTAGCAAAGCGAAGATGACGAAACTGCCGACCATCGATTTTTACTCCTATATTATCCCATTCCAATGTTCGCATGACGTTCTGGTGGGTGGCGGCAAATAATTTTGGAGAGATGGCATTGCCTTGCCTAACTGTTCCTTTGACGTCAACGTTAATATCGTTGTAAAATGGTGATATCTTGGTTGTGAAATTTTTGTACAGCTCACAAAGAATCTTTATGTAATGAGTAAGTACTCCTTGACTATCGAGAGCTTCCATGACTGCTTCTATCTCAGTTGAATCAAAGGCCTTCTGTAAATCGATGAAATGAGACAGAGCGGTTTTTTGCACTCTCGCGATACTTCAATGAGCGTTGTTATCGTGTGGATGTGGTCCATAGTACTAAATCCTTTTCGAAACCCTGCTTGCTTACATGGCTGTCCTTCGTCCAGTGTTCTGTCAATCCTGTTTAGGATGACTCCAGTGGAAAGTTTGTAGACGACAGACAGTAGGCAGATTGGGCGATAGTTGCCGATATTGCGTAGGTCACCCTTCTTGAACAATAACACGGTCTTGCTGGTCTTCCACTAAGTAAGGACCTTGCTTTCAGACAGGTAACGTGTGAAGAGTCGAGCCAGTGTGTTTACGAGGACTGGCGGAGGGTTCCTCAGGTGTTCTGGTCTTATCCTCTCCGGACCTGGCGCTGTTCGATTTTTCACCGACAAAATGGCGTGTCGCATTTCGGAAAGGAGAACCGGTGGTACAACATATCCATCCTCTTTTATTTCATATGACGGAAGGTGGACGTGGCTATCGAAGAGATCCGAGTAGTATTCGTGAATGATTTTCTCCATTGCCTTTCTGGACGCTGTAACTCTTCCGTCTGGGCGTCGGAGTGCAATCATCTTGCTCTTGTAATTCGATGGGTTTTGCGAGTGCTTTTTCAAGCGTCTGCAGCTTCGACCATTACTGCTGCTTTTCTTTCCTCAAGATCTTTTTTTTATCGCCTGTCTGCATTGTTTTGCAAGTTCGGACGTTAGTTCGCGGTTGCCTGCAGCTCGTGCGATTCCACGATTCCACGCTGGCGTATCAGCTCGAGTGTTTCTGGAGAAAGACGTCTCTTGGTGACTTTCGAACTCTCAGCTTTCATAGCGCTAACGTGAAGATGTTGAATGAACTGATCGTATTCTTCGTCGATATTATCGACAACGGTATCTTTCCAAGATCCGACTAATGAATTGAATAAGTCCCAGTTTGCGGTGGTTCTCGGACGTCGGTTTTGGAATTTAGCGGCTTTTTCTCCTTTCCGCGAGAAATAGAATCTTGCACTAAGGAGACTAGGGTCTGATCCTGTGTAGAATCTTGGGAGAACAGCGACAGACCATCTATTAGACCAAACCATCTATTTACTATTATGTGGTCTATTTCGTTATGGTACTCTCCATTGGGAGACTCCCACGTCCAGCGCTGAGAGTGGGGTTTCTGGAATTGCGAGTTACCATGGATTGTCTTCGTCGCCATGATAAATTCAGGCAGCCGCTCGCCCTTTCGTTGCATTCTAATCCGTCGGTCTCAATGTAACGTTCTTCAGGGTCCGGTCTTAGAGTTAAAATCTCCAACGATAGTCTTGAACAATGTATGGTGTTTTCTGTAAAACTATGGAACGTTTCGACTTCTTCTTCGTCATAGTTTGATGTTGGCGCGTTAACGACGACGATTGTCAAAGCCGGTGTCGATCCACATCTTTTTAATCGTAAAGGACCGATTCGGTTTGTAAGCTGTTCGATTGAATCCATGACACCCACATACGCATGCATTAGTACGCCTAGAAAATACAGAAAATATGTGCCAAATCGAAGCAGCAGAATCAGGGAGTCCATTCCTGGGATCCACCTGCGTCTCAAGGAAGACACAACGTAGACAGTACTTTAAAAAATAGTGTGCATATTCATCTTCAATGGTAATTGCCTCATTCAGAGGAAGTATCCTTGACGTTAATACTCCGGTTTTCACGTTAGGGTCCTTAAAAGGATCTTTCTAACTATGTCGCTTAACTTCACAGTTGGCGAGTTTCTGCAAGTGATGAGTCTTGAGCAAAACAAATGCGGAAGTCGCCGCCATTATGAAGAACATCTAATAGCGAAGTGATAATACGGTTTTGATCAACAAGGCTGCGGACTGTTTGCATCGTCTATCGAGGAGCAAAATCGTGTTTTGAGGAGGAAACTTCGCTCTTCCACTGGAAAACTTAGGAGGCACACCTTCAGCATCCCTTACAATATCTTTCTTGATGTCATTTGATGAAACAACTAGCGAGAGACGAAAATCTCGAGTTGTGACAGTGATCATATGTAGTGAAACAAGTGAATGTTCATGAGCCAGAGGACCACACACAAAAGCAGCAAACTCGAGTTGTATAGCTCCTTTGAAAGATGCAGACGTCCCAGTGCACGAACGAGCCGGCTTCATAGACGGCATACACAAAGGAAGAAAAAGGATGATAGTTGTCTTAGGGTGCATGGAAAATAAGAAGGATAAAGCTTTCGGCGTTGATCAATCTCTGAGGGATGCGCCATGCATTCAACTTCACTAACTGTCGTTGGAGGTGATCGAATTCATATTTGGCCTTTACAATGACTACCAGTGGCCTACCGATGTATCGAACCAGTGCTCTATCCTCGCAAACAAGTTTGGCACTAATTTGCCTAATCTGGAGGGATGGAAGCCTTGGTGGGCCATCGTTGCGGAGATCGATTTCACGTGAGTGCTGCAGGGCGCCTCCGACACGCGCCCATAGGGTGCATGGAATTTGCAAACCTCTACCATCTAAGTTTCGAACTGAACACATATATTTTTAATCAGACACTGACAAAATTATTCGGGAACAAACCTTTAAGTCGTGATGTAAAACACAATTGGACACTTGGACAGCCCGTCCTTACTGGCTGTGCGGGGTCCAGTATAATCTCCATTTTTTGGAGTTTTGCTGGCTTAGCCACTACGGCTCGTTGGTATTTCGAGGTCAGCCTGGCCAAACCCTGTCCCAGTTCGCCACCAATACAGGTAATCGCCGCCTTTGTGGATCAGAGGGAGATTTGCCACCATGCGACTATGTAAAACCAGTGGGGAATAACATTGAATCTTCACTAACCAGTATGACGGAAACGATTCCAATTCGACTTGCAGCAAGCAGTGACAGCGGCAGCTGAATTACATTGTGAAGGAGAAGAAGCACGTTGTCACCCTGGAATCCGCCAAAAGATCTGCTCTTTCGTTAACAGAAAATAAAATGAGAATCTCGTTTTCACTCATTGAATTATTTATTCATCACTAAGCTTCTTTTGCACACTATGCGATCTAATAGGACGTTTGAAAATTCGTTTCGTTCCAGACTGACATTTCAGCGACTTGCGTTATTTTAACAGATTCTAAAAATTCTAAGCAAAATTCAAGGATCTTTAACCTAAAAGCCAACTCTCGCTGAACATCGTCATTAATAATCAAGGATCTAAATGAAATAGGAAATGCATTCTATGAAAGGGCCTGTGTGGGGCAGTGGTCGGAGGCGCCTCGCAACACACGTGGAATCTATCCCCGCCTCCATGGCCCACCCAGCCTTCCATTCCTCTGGGATCGGCAAATTGGTAGCAGACTTGTCTGGGAGGATAGCAGCACTGGTTGGATACATCGGTAGGCCACCGCGAGTCCTTGTCAAGGCCAGATATGCATTCAATCACCTCCAAACGATGCTTAATGAAGTAGAATGCATGGCGTATCCCTCATGGATTGATCAACGCTGAGAGGTTTGTCCTTTTTATCCTTCTACCAAACACATTACCATCAAAATTTGGAACGCTTTTAGTACTTCTGTTACATTTATTGCAATTATTATTATATACATCTCTCCATACGATAAGTTCAACCAATCTTAACAACTAAAGATGAGAAAACAATGAATTACTGATCAAAAATTGACCGATGCATAACAAACGATGCTGGTTTTCCGATGAGTCTTGCCGCATTCAACGACGCCTGTGAAACCGGAGGAGAACAGTTACTCGGAACATGCGACAATAAGTTGGCTGTGTCGGCGTTCTCGTCAACACGAGTTTGGCCATGAACATCGGTTCATTCGAGCAATTAACAACCCCAATCGGATGTCTTCAGTTGAAGAAATGTGGATCAGTATCGGCTTTAACAAACTTCGTCGTTTACGCACTGATATCAAGCTATGCCGAAGACGAAGTCGAAGCGTTCTATACGGACTTGAAGATGTTCTGCAGAGAAGACCATATATTCTTAAATGTCATTGCTAGAGATTTCAATGGTAAGATTGGAGTCGGAAAGAAATCTGAAGAAAGTCACATGTGGACCCACGGATTAAAATGGAACTAGGAGAGTGGGCAGCGGTCTTGGCTTATCATGACGACCAAGACCATTCATGGTAACTTACAATTCCAGAAATCCGCCCTCAACGATGCACATGCGAGTTTCCCAATGGATAGCACCCTAGCGAAATAGACTAAATTATAGCAAATCGAAGGTTTTACTTAACCAATGTCTTTGTCGTCCCAAAATTTTATACTGGATCAGACATTCGTCTCCTTCGTACAAGAATCCGATTCTCCTGGAAAGGACAGAAAACCTCCAGGGTAAACAAACAAAGTCGCAAAATCACCATAAACCGGAATTTATTCAGCTTCTTAGTCTACCCTTCGGTTTTTACCGTTATTGATAAAATCGAGGACGAAAATAACCAGCTTGCTCAACGCATTAGCGCTGTAAACGCGGAGAGCTCCAAAACCTCACCAAGGGACGTCGGTCCTCAGAAAAACACAAGCTGACACGACGACATTGAACCTCATGAGCTACAGAGAACCACTAAACCATATCCAAACTGAATGCGTCCTTTCCTTGTTCAGCAATCGCGAGGTTTTTAAAAGGCATACATTTACTCGTATATAATGCTGAGATATTTGCAAAAGTCCGGACCGCAGGTGTATGCGGTGGGGAACGAACGCGCGCTATTGCCCTTACCGGGGAGCAGCGCGCTTCACCACCACATCATCGGGTCCTTCTTTTTTTGCCTGACTCTCAGCTAGTTCTATTGATCTTTTGCCATCAGCAATCACCCGTCGACGGGATTGATCTGGGGAGCCCAAATCGGCATTGAACCCAGTTAAGCTGAGGTTTGGTTACAATCACAATCACATTTTTGTTCACTTCCTTTCTTCCCACCCTTCACACACAAAGAGGGCGATTGTGAGAAACATGTTTCGAACAGCCACCTCTGTGTGCACTACCAGAGAACTAAAGGAAGAATCGCGCGACTTGGCTCGAAAAATAGCCATCTCCAATGGCTACGAAATAGTAACCACACGAGATAAGTTTAGAAAGAGAGCGACGCGCCCACGCGAAACACTTGGCCAAAAGAAAGTCCCGTTTATGTTGCCTTTTATAAACGATGAAGTAAGCGTAGCAATAAAACGATGCTTGAGAAGGGCAGGTCTAGAGGAATCGGTAGCGATAGTTGAAATACCACCGGCTACTCTACGTCGCCAATTAGTTCGCAACCGCCTGTATGACCGTCTGTGTGAAACAACAAATTGCGTAATTTGCCCTTACGACAGGGACGGTAATTGCATGAGTTCAGGTACCATAAACCTATAATTGCGGAAATGAATATATTGGCGAAACGGGCAGACCTTTGTGTATCCGTATAAAAGAACACCTAGATGGCAAACGAAAACTAGGACGAAGCACCCCACTAGGCACACATAGGACACAAAAGCATAGCGGAGACGATTTTGAAGTAAAAGTCAATATCCTTGCAGAGGAGTCTAAAACACCAGCGCGAAAACTTCTTGAGGCTTTCTGGATAAATGCCAAAAACCCTACAATGAATAGCAGGGAGGAATGCCCAGAGGTCACACTCGACCTGACCCCGTATGTTCGCATCAATTTCTGATGTGGAATGGTGCAGTCATCAACCATATGCGACTATAATCAGCTGTTCCAATCTTCCTCATTGGGATTCGCGTAAAATAGGTGAGTTTTTCGAGAAGCTGTTGATCATGTAATTACCATAGAGTTTTTCGTCTTTTTGTAAGTGTTATTGAAGCGTTTGGCTTAGTAGATTGCATATCAGTATATTCTTCCAGGCTCTGAAGAAGGCGATACTGCCAAAACGTCAGCCAGTGTTGTATTGTATTGTGTTTTTCCTATGGAAGTAGATGTATGCTGTTTAAAAACTTCGCGATTGCTGAACAACAGAACGACGCATTCATATTCCAATGCCGATGTTAGTAGAAAATCGATCCTGGGAACCATATCCAAACTTGCAAAAAAGAGTGAAGAGGCAATGATAGAAAATATCCCTAACAACAGCTTTGGTCGAAGCTGCAGAGGCTGGAAAAACAAAAAAAAACGGTTGAATTTTGCTTTTAACAAATTTTCAGATGCGTGTACGTATAACCTATTAAGACTAACCATTCCACAATATTCCTTAAATATGCTTGCAATTTTGTTCATCAGCACCTCTACGGTATCCCAAGTGAGATCGGCGTAGTCGTGCACATCGTCGTCCCAGAAATTTCCGTCCCTTCAAAGAATTTGTTTGTTGTGTGTGCAAAGACTATGTTGTTTAGCAATTAGCATGTTTTAGCACTGATACCAAATACATATCCTTTACCATAACATTGCTGTCTCGTATCTGTTGTCCTCTGACGAAATGTGACGATCTACACAGTTGTAGGAGATGTTGGTGTGTCGCTGTAAGAACTTAATCTTCAAATAATTGGTTAGTAATATGACTTTACTTTGACACCATTAATATACAAAAACGGAAGTAATAATAATTAAATGTCACATATGTACACAGGTATAAATATGGTATATATATATATACATACATATATATATATGTATATATATGTACATATATATATATATATATATGTATGTATATATATATATATAGCTCTGCGGTTCGGCACACATCCTCACTGTTAATCAAGGCATATTCATGCATGCATGAGTAGGCTTCTCTCAGTTTTTTTTTCTCAGTTTGTATAGGTTGTATTCTACAAGTTAGTTAGATCAAAGGGCAGCAATCAAGTTACTGGGAACTATATTGAGGCGGTTAAGGGTCAGTAGCAACAGATAAGTACCTCAACTTTAACTTATTATTGACTGCCTACTCCTTTTTTTTAACGGTAGCGAAATTATACATTGTGAAATATAACTTCAATGATACTGAGATATTTGCAAAACTCCGGGCCGTAGGTGAATGCGGTGGAGAACGAACGCGCTATTGTCCTTTCTGGGGAGTAGGGGAGATCATTGAAATTATATTTCACAATGTATACCTTGCTGTTAAAAAAAGAGTAGGCAGTAAATAATAAGTTAAAATTGTGATTATAACTGCGGCCTCAACTTAACTGGGTTTGTTGCCGATTTGGCCCCCCAGATCAATCCCGCTGACGGGTGATTGCTGATGGCAAAAGATCGATAGAACTAGCTGAGAGACAGGCGAAACGAAGGACCCGCGTGGTGTGATGGTGAACGCGCTACTGCCTGGTAAAGTACAATAGCGCGTTCGTTCCCCACCGCATACACCTGCAGTCCGGAGTTTTGCAAATATCTCAGCATCATTGAAGATAAGTACCTCGTCTACGCTTGAAACTGACAGCCAATAACTTGTGAGAATACAAGCCCACGTGCTGCTAGCTTAGCAAGTTAACCATAGGTATTAAGAGTCAAAGACAATAAAATAAATGGGCCTGACTTTCCTGAAGAAGGTTTCGAGAGGACAGCATTGGGTAAAACGAGTAGGAAAAGGAGATGAAGATCTGTGCTTAAATGATTGTCACCTGTAACCGAGTTTTACGTTGAGGTTTGATGATGCAGTCTAAAAGCGCAAGGTACGACTGGTTGAGACGGTCATTGACTGGATGAGACGAAAAGACAGCGTTCATTCGCCGCTGTCAATGAGAGCAGAGGAAAAGCTTCTTGGAACATGCGATAATATCGCAATCTGAGGCGTTAATGTGCCCGTCAGCACGAGTTTAGCAATAACATCGGTTCATTCGAACAACCAGAAACCAGATTAGTACGATTTCACTTGAAGAGATGCGGACTTTTATCCCCTCAATATCTTTAGGATAGTGTTATGATAGCCAGGAGTTTCAAAGCCACCAAGAGGCCCCCGTCTTCTGGGCGCCACATTTAATCGCCAACTCACGCCCGAACTGGCAAAATTGCAAAAAGCAATAAAGGAAGATCTCAAGGAAACAAGAAGCTTAAGATCACGGTGATCTTGCAGGTGGTAGGGAGAGCATTTCCAACACCAGCTAAAATATTGCCAATTATTAGATTGAGACTATCGCAATTCGACGCCCAAGCAACACAACTGCTGCTTCCTTAAAGGCAATGAAGGGTGCGCTGTGGAAAACGAAGGGTACATTTCTGTTGTCCATTCATTGGTGCAGCTGTTGAAGTATATGCTACACTTCGTCGATTTGCTAGACGTATTTCTCTGCCGCAGTCCTTTTATCCCGTTTCTGGAAACCGGAACTCTGTTGTATTAAACACGCAGCAGACCACCAAGTGGTCAGTATCACTTTCTTTTAGTACAATTTCGGCTTCTGAATGTGCTGCGGAGCATTGCCGTGGCCCAAACATTGAGATGACCGCCTCGGCATCATTTCTCGCTGGTTTCACACTATGGTAGAAAAATAGGTGGTACTGCTTGTGAAGAAGGAGCACCAGTCGTGGATCAAAGCGACAATTTCATTCATTGTCATTCAGCTTGTCTGGTATGCACTCGTCGAGCTTCGACTTTCCACTGTTTTCAGATTTAGTCACTTTCTTACTTGCTGCCTATTCTTTTTCCATGGCATGGTATTATGTGAAATATAATTGCAATGATGCCGAGGTATTTGCAAAACTCCGGACCGCATGTGACTGCGTCTGAGATCGAACTCACTATTACCCTTTGCGAGACTAACGCTTTTACTATCACACCATGCATTGTAGTTATATTTCACATCATATCATCCCATGAAAAAGAATAGGCATTAATAAAACTGGCTACATTGTCATTTATACTATAGTTCCAGCTTAACTGGGTACGACACCGATTTGTGCTCCCCAGATCAACCCTGTCAATGGGTGGTAACTGATAAAACCTATAGGTTTAAACAGAGCTGAAGGAAAGGTGAAACGAGGGATCCGTGTGATGTGGTGGTGAATGCGTTAGCCCTCGGAAAGTGAAATAGGGAGTTCCATCACCACAGCAGACACCTGCGCTCCGGAGTTTTGCAAATATCTCAGCGTCATTGTAGTTGTCTTCAGATAGTTCGATACAGTTGAGATGCTTACACCGATTTCTTCTGCAAGTTGTCGTACATTTGTGGTGTGCCTACTCTAAGACCTTGTACGTTAAGAATAATAAAATTACAAGTCCGACACTAACTTCGAAGGAACATAATATTCTCTACTCATCAGCTCATGAACTCTCACATCAGGGAGATCCGTCGATTTAATAAATGAAGCCAAAATTTGTTACACTTAGTAGTTTCCTGTGATAATGAAACAATGGTGGCATTATTGCCGTCACTATAAATGAGTAATTTTGACAAGAATGGTAGTAACGTTGAGTAGAAATAGAAATATGAACAAAAATAGGAGTATAAATTCATCCTTCATAATAAGATATGCGGAAAATCTCACCAAGTTGTCATCACCTGTCTTCCAGTAAATATTGTCCATGAAGGAGAGGTAGGATTCCTAAAGCTTCTAAAAGTGTGGAATTTCAACAGTCCGTGTCATTTATATTCATGCGAGCCTATCACTATGATCTAACTATAACTAACTATAGCCTTAACAAAAAACCACATAACTAGTGAAAAACAACTTGTAAACTTGAAACTATCAAACATCTCTCTACTATAACTAATTCTAGTGTTAGCTACAACTAGCTAACTATATATGACTACAGCGTTTCCGATACATTTCTTAGTACTTTAACAAAAATCAAAGAGAATAGGGGACAAATTTTGATTAAAAACAACAATAATACGTTGTTGAGAACAGTGGAACCAAATCCTTCGCGCATCGTTTTGAGAACGACAGCGATCTTTAGTTGTTCCCACAAGGACGTTGCTCGAGAATGGAAAGATTCATCCTAATTCCACACAATGATGGTAATTTTCTGTCGATGTAGCCATTCTCGACCGTCCCACAAGCCGCCAATTCTGCGGTCGCTTCGGGGGGAGGGGGTGGGGGAGTGGGAAATGTTACCAGACTCATTCTAGGGTCAGCCCACTTCCTCCAATCTAGGACAGCTGGTGATCGTTTATGACGACGATTTAAAATCCTCTAGTAAGGCCTAAAAGGGTGAATAGTACAGCGGTAGTGATGCCGATCAACGCGAGTACGGTGCCAGTTCGATTCCGCAGCGTGCTCTCCGAGCCTCTCATTCCTCCGCGTTCGGAGGACTGGTCCCGGACTTGTCCAAGAAAAAAAAATCATCCTCTGTAATCCAAGTGCAAATGCTCTACCTCGGCTATCCCGGTATTCCAGAGGAATCTAGTCGACCACCAATCAACGACATTCAAGTGCCCAAGCCACCTGAAAAAGTTGGAACACTTTCGCACATGACGGGTGCGAGGAAACGAAACCAAAACAAACGAATGTGAGAAGTGCTGATATACATGCAGCAGATGTGGAAGACGGGTTGTATGAAAATTGAGAAAAAGGTGTGTACAGTCTTACATCGACTACAGAAAGAGTCTGTTTTATCAAAACTCAAAGGAACTTATAAAGATGAGCAGAAATCTTCAAGAATGAGCAGAATCCTCCGAACTACGAAAAAACTTCCGTTGCTGACAGATGTGAGAAAACGGACGAAGCAGAAAAGATGGTGGAATTCGCCCAATATTTGACTTCGAAAAGTATTTATAGATAGAAAAAACTATAGGTTGTGAAGTCCTTCGTTACAGCAGTTGCGCACACACTGTGTTTAAAAATGACCAGTTTTTCAAAATGTGCTACGTGAAAAGAGCTGGTTGCTACTCGGTTTCCCTTTAACTAAAATATAAAATGCATAGTGCTATTTTTCACAATTTTATCTCGGTCTCCTGAATCATTGCTTCCCAGAAAGGAGCACTGTCACATTCTTTAGGTTTTTCGCTACCATTTACAAGGGATGGTGGGTTTCATAGTAATGGCATAAGAGCGCATTAGAATAAAGACGGATATCCTGAAGAAAGGCAAGCAAACCTTCATGGATCTCAAGTATTCAACAGACGGCAGCTGGTTGTTGAGAATTCGAAGTAATTCAAAGTACACATAGTTGCCAGCGAGACATCAGCCAGTTAAGAAAGATCGTCAAATTGCGGGAATGAAAAACTGAAACCGCATTGGCGAGAACCGCGAGCCATTGCGAAGCCCTGATATGCATTCAATCACCTCCAAACGATGCTTAATAAAGTCGAATGCGCATCTCTCAGGAATTGATCAGCGGCGAGAGCTTTATCCTGTTTTATCCTTTAAGGTACCTGCAGCTTCCCATTCGCCAAATACAATAAAAATAGACGATTCATGGAAAAAATGTGACGCTATTCATATCCATTCATGATGAATAGATTGCATAGAACAAAATCGACAATTTCCTTATGATATTCAATATTTTGACCTTGTAAAGTTGCATGTGATCTTATTCTAGTTTATGATTAATTCTTCGTCAACCCAAGATGCTGTGAATCGTTTGGTATATTTGGTAATTTTGTCTTCCAAAGCGCAATTCTCGTGCGAACAATCATAGAATAGGAAAGGTAGAACCTGGTCACTTTTTTTTCCAATCGCTAAAACCTTTGTCTTTCACTGTTTCACTTTTAGCACTGAAAAAAGGCCTTTTAACATTTCAAGTTTACACACTTCCTCACACACATATGAGCGATCTCGAGCCGGTTAGACGCGAGGCTACGTGGCGCGTCCCCAGGTGGCGGATAGGGGCTTAATCGCGGGCCAAAAGCGACCTTTGTTTCTTTGAGACGCAGGTGGATCCAGGGAATAGACTCCCTGATTTTGCTGCCCCGATTTAGCACATACTTTCTGTATTTGCTAGGCATATTCATGCGTGCGCGTGTGGGTACGTTCTCGCTTATGCGGACTGCATTCTATCAGTTATGTCGGCCAAAAGCCTGCAATCAAGTGACTGGGAATTATATGGGAGGCGGTTAGGAGTCACCTTCAACAAATAAGCTCCATGTCCATTCTGGGAAAGCCTGGCAAGCTACCCGTGAGTATACCCGGCCCCCACGTTCAGAGCCCAGCAAGCTATACGTGGGTATTAAAATGCTAAACACAGTAAAAAGAACGGGCCTCATTTTCCTGACCCCGAAAGAGCACCTAATTTCGCAGCGTTGGATAGGACGAGTACGGAGAGGCTGCTAAAATCTTAGGACCAATGGAAGCTGCGTGGATTTCAAAGAACTATGGTGACGATCTGT